TAATCACCTAAACTGTACATTCAACTGAGTCCATTCAGTTTCCTATCAAAACAACTTAGATTTTTTTGCTCTACTCATATTATTCACCTGCTAACTCGTAACACTGCTCTCCTCCTTTCCATTACTCCCACACTTACTGACACAATTGCACCTACTGGCAGCTGCATTGAAGTGGGGGAAAAGTAGTCTTGATCCGTTGAGCTATGTGCAGAAGAACTTCATTTCCACGATTCAATGAGGTTCCAATGCTTGCCGGTAAGTGCGCATGCAGAGGCGGGTCAAAACACATTAAATCGCAGGAAATGTAGTCTTGACCCATCACCGAATGCACACTTACCAGCTGCTTTAAATTAAGCATGTGCAGTGTAGATGTTAACTAATTTGGATTTTCTGCGACTTGTAGTTTGGCCGCAATTCGAGTTTCACTTAAGTCGTAAGTCATATTAAATACAATGGTCCTGACTAATTCGCTAATTTTACTTATATGAGTTTTATTGTATAAGTCTCACCACATCTTTGAAACATTGGTGCGATACCAGTCCATGCTTTACCTCATTCCTGTGAGTTTGGAAAATGATCTTTTTTTTTAAACAATGCTTTGTTTTCTTCTGTCTGCCATTACTAGAGTATGATGGGGGAAAATTGCAGAAACCCAGGTGCGTTTTATGCTTCAGGTGTCGTTTTACACATTGTTTTATCATGTATCCAATAAAGCACACAAGTCAAGTGCCTCATTTGTATGACTAAGTACACAAAGGCCTAATACTGCAGCTGGTGTTTGACGTGAATATCTCCCAGCAGGGTAAAGGGGTCAAAATGGGTCTGATTGATTTGACTGTGCACACTATTCAGAAATGAATTAGAGGATGGTACATGTGATACTTATTCATAATGACAAGCTTTCTAGGCAGATCAATAATCTAAGGAGCATCAATAGTATTCAAGAAGATCTGGACCAATTAAGTAAATGCTAACGAGTGGCAAATAAATTCTGAGCTAGGTAGATGCAAGATGGTAAATGTTGGAACAAAGGTCAGTAAACATGCAAATTTGAAGGGCTGTCCATTAGCAAAGCTAGAGACGGAAATCATTTAGAAATGCTTATTGAACATTCACAAAAGGTTTCACACAATGTTTGGAGCAAAAGTAATACAGGGGAGGGAACTAATCTTTGTAATTTCACTCACTGTAATGTGTCCTTCAATTACGTTTAACTTTCATTGTGATCAGTTTGCATCAAGCACCTCAAATCCAATACTGCTATCTTCACCTGGCTCTACTGGCTCCCAACCACCTCACTCCCGAGGACACACTTTAAGATCCTCATCCTTACCTTTAAATGTCTTTATAAAAATAAAAATTGCATTTGATATAGTGTCTTATCACATCATTGAGATGTCTCAAAGCTCTTCACAGAATATACTGTAAAGTGAATCGACTGTAGAATTTGTGGGTGAAACACAGTACCCAATTGCGCACAGCAGTGACCCACAAACATGTGGATTGAGTGACCAATTTTTTTTAAGGGACTATTAACACCATAAAATGATCCGGTAATCGACTAATAACTGAGTTCCTACTTACTGCTAGGTAAACAGAGGTGTGTGGAGTAAGCAAACATGCTTAACATTCGCACTACCTGGGAATCAAACCTGCTCCTCTTTCTTGTTACAACAACAACAACAACAACAAGATTCCATTTATAGAGCGCCTTTCACGTCAGGAGGACGTCCCAAGGCGCTGCACAGTTGGGTCATGACCCGAGCAGGGGGGAAATGGTCAGGGTGAGGGGAGGGAAGGGAGGGAGAGAGGAGGGGGGAAATGGTCTGGGTGAGGGGAGGGAAGGGAGGGAGCGAGGAGGAGGAAGAGAGTCGAGAGGGGAGCTGAAGGCACGGTCAAAGAGAAGGCGAGTTAGGCGAGTGCTCTAACCAATACCCTACAGGACTCCACATAGGTGGTAGTTCTGAGTGATAGGTAACAGTTAAGGATCGCCAAAATTTTACCCCATTGTAAACTCAAAATTTCATCAAGTCTTATAAGACCATTTAGCCCTAAAATTTAGTATCATGGAAAAGTGTAGAAAATTCTTAACTTGAGTTTGAATTTGGAAATCAGTTCTTGTCGAGAGAGATTGTGTGATGTTCTAACTTCCAAATGTCTCCAAGCCATCGCACAACCTGCCTCTGTGATCTGCAGCACTGTATTACTTACCTACTCCTCCCTCCACTCTGCTAATTCAGGTCTGCTTCATGAAGTTCTATGCCCCCTCCACCCGTTTCACCCACAAAATATATAGTCAATTTACTGTATATTCCGTGAAGCGCGTTGAGAGGTCACAAAGTCGTGATAAGGTGCTATATCAAAAGCAAGGATTATTATCATTATCCATTGGCAGGTGAGCTTTCAGCCAGCTTGTCCATCCAGTCTCTCTGATTCGCACCTTCCCTCTCTAGTTTCAAAATATTTCTAAAAACTTACTTCTTTAATCTTGCTTTTGGTCATGTTACTTCAACCTAACCCCACCTTCCACTCTGCTCAGGCTCCTACTTCTTCTCTGTAAAGTTTTTTGAGACATTTTCCCATATTGAAGATACTATATAAGTGCAATTTGTTTTGTGAAATCCATGCTTTATGTGGTCTCTAGAAAGTGTAATGGCTTTTCCTTGTTCAATGCGCAGCAATTCCTTACTCAGTTGTAATGCAACAATGTTGCACAGCTTCCTTTTTGGAAGCAGAATAAAAAGGAATGTATTAACTCCACAAAGTATGGCCACATAAAAGCAAGGTATCACAATGTAATGGTGAAAATAACCCTTCATTGATGCAACCTGAGTGCGAGTGGAAAAATGTGCAGGCTGACCTCTGTATACTGACCCTTAGTTATAACGATCCCTTCCAGTTATAGCGAACTCGACATTGAGACCCGTTTTTTCCAATTGATTGTTGCTCCGATATAGCGATTATTGAAGCAGTGCAGTCCCTGATATAACAATTTGCAATCAAGTCAAAATGGTGGGGTTGTTCGGCAGTCAATCACGTGAATATAATGCTTCTTTTCCCAAGTCCCCAGGGCTGTTGTTATACTGAGGTCAGCTTGTATTCTGTGAATTGTATATCATAGTTATATCGAACAATCAAATGAACTTCTGAATTAGCTCACCAATGTGTATAGAAGTGTATAGTAGTGTATAGAAAGCAGGACTGCAATGTGATAAAAGACAATACTATCATGCGCAAGACTAGTAACGGAAGTAAGATGGTTAGAAGTCCTTTTCATATCCGATGAAAGGTTTGAAGTACGATTCAGAAAATGGATTTACTTGTCTACTGAAAGTACAGGATGGGTAGAACATTCAGGCTTTGGAGATTCAGTGCGCAACCACCGGAGAGTTGACAGCCCAATCATATCAAAATTGCTAATCATTTGATCCTAGACCTGTGAACTTTACAAAAGAATGCCATTCAGCTCAATGCATCTATGCTGCATCCTGCCTCAACCACCACTCCACGCAGGACAATCTACAGTTCTGAGCAAAAATTTGCTTCTTTGTAATTATCTTAAATTGATGCCCTCTAGCCACTGACTTAATAACTATTGGAAATAATTTCTCCTGATAATTTTAGAGTTATCAATCAGATTTCTCCTCAACCTTTATTTCAGTAAAAATAACTTCATCCTTGTAAATCTCCTTTGGCTCTCTTACGACTCTGATACTCGGTGGTTAGAGCACTCGCCTCGCAAGCAAGAAACCTGTGTTTGTTTCCTTAGTTCACATGCCTGATAATCCCTCAAGAAAAAAAAACAATTAGTCACTTCAATCCAAGACTGTTTGTGGGACACTGCTGTGTGCAATTGGCTGCCACGTTTCGCCCACAAATGTACAGTCAATTCACTTTACAGTATATTGAGACATCTAGAAGATGTGAAAAGTGCTATATCAAATGCAAAGATTATTATTATTATTATTATTCCTCCTACACTGAATTGACCAAACTGGGACAAAACTCTAACAATTTATACAAGTTAAGCATCACCTGTTGGGTGTATATTCAGTACTTTCATTGGTTCCGATTTGGGAAACTTTGCAATTCTGTTTTTTACTTTTTTACAACTAAAAACAAGGGGAATAAAATTATAGATGCACACTTGAAGGTAGGACTACTGTAGGAATTTGTTCCTGAAAAATATAAAATGGGGAGTCAGAGAAGGAGAACTAAGAGGTAAATCAGGAGGGTGAGGGCACAATGTAATAATAAAATAAGTAGTCTTGTATTTGATATAGTGTTTTATCATGTTTTAGAGACGACACAAAGTGCTTCACAGAATACACTGTAAAGTGAATCAACTGTGTATTTGTAGCACTAAAACGATGCAGCTGATCTCGGTTGGGGCAGCAATTAGGTCATTAGCCTCAGTGCCCCTGGTTAACGTAGGGGAGAATCAGCAGAATCCGCTTGTATTCTCTACCTAGAGACGCTGGAGGGTTCATATGTGTTGGTGTTGGGTCAGATCATGACCATGCCTGGCTCTGATCTGTTGACAAAAGCAGCTTGATGCTGTCATGTGAGAAGGGTATGGCCTCTATTGTGAAATAATAATACAAACCTTGCATTTGATATAGTGCCTTATCATATTGTTGAGACATCTCAAAGCGCTTCACAGTACATACTGTAAAGTGAAGTGACTGTATATTTTGTGGGTGAAACACGTCAGCCAATTGGACCAAATGAGCTTGAGGGCCTTTTGCATCCAAACCTCTCTTTGCATCTAAAAGAGTGAATGATTAATGTTAATAATCATCCTTGCATTTGATATAGTGCCTCATCACCTTGTCAAGACGTCTCAAGGCACTTAACAGAATTTTCCTATGATGTGTAGTGACATCAGTGATGCCATTTGTAGGCAAACGTGGGAACCAATTTGTGCACAGCAATTTTTCACAAGTAACTGTTTTCTAGCAAAGAAGTGCCTGATACGATCAGTTTTACTTTCTCCTCAGACTGCCCAGACAGTGCTGGTGGTGATTGTAGTATTCTGCGTCTCTTGGCTGCCCCATCACGTGATCAACCTGTGGAGTGAGTTTGGACAGTTCCCGCTCACCGAAGCCTCCTTTGCCTTCAGAATAGCAGCTCACTGCCTGGCTTACAGCAACTCATCCGTGAACCCCATCATCTACGCCTTCCTGTCGGAAAACTTCAGGAAGTCATACCAACAAGTCTTCAAATGTAAAATCTGCAGCTCGTCTCCTTTAAAAGATACTAAGGAATGCAGAAGTCGGACGGACATTGTCCCATCCACCAGCTGCACCAATGTGTGAGATGGAAAATGGAGGCATTGGCAGTAAGTGTTAAAGTGACTGCATGGCCATCAGTGTTTCATTTCCATTAAGCAAAAGAGTAGCTATTGACACGATTCTGCTGTAATTTTATTTCAGGCGCTTTTATGCTTTGGAAACAGGATTTTTCTTTTGGCAGCTATGTACCCTCCTACATTGCTGCCCTCCATCCTCCCTGATCCTAACCCCTCCCCCACCCCACTCGGGTCCTAATCCCTGACTTTTCAGCACCTTGAGATGTCCTCTCAATGTGAAAGACGCTTTACAAATGTGATTTTGCATTTACATCTTTTCAACTGCACTTTAGACTCTCTCCCTGTTCCTTCCCCAGCTTCAGCTCCCAGTCAGCTATGTGAAGTAATTTGAGACAACAAAAAATTACATTTGTATAGCATCCTCTTTACGTGAAAGGCACTGGATAAATGTAAATTACTGTTTTGTCTGCCACATGGAAACCTATCACCATGCTTACGAGTATCCAAACTGAACTACTGAGAGTTCAACCATATGCATGGTGTCTGTACATAACTCAAATGTCCAAAGATGGGATGAAATTACTGTATTCTTAACCATATACCATCCTTTAATTAACACTGTGGATAATGAAAGAACACTTTATTGACCAAACAGAAAAAATTATAGTTAAAATGAGCTTAAAACCTGTCCTTAACATTAGGTCTGGATCTGTCTTTGAACTAAATTTATGAAAAGGCTGCTATTTGAAATGTAAAATTCTTATGTTGTCCAGAAGTCAGGTGTTCAGTCTCAAGCCTATTGATCGGGACATATTTTAAGGAAATGCTTTCAATTGTGGTTTCTGTTCCATAATTATTCCCAGTGTTAATTCAAAAATATATAACATTATGACTACTGCAATTTTCACCCCATAATGTGAGTGTGGCAGACTGCACTGTTAAAAGTGCTATACAAGTGTAATTTTGTTTTGTTGTTGTAAAAGAAGCAGATTATGGGAACAGACTAGGACTATGAGTTACAGAGAAGTCTGGCCAGACCAATTTGTTCATTGCTCAGAGATCACTAGAATGGGATCTGCAGCAACAATTGTACTTATTTGTAGATTGTCCTCAAAATATTGAGATTGCATGCTTCATTGTAAGAAACGTTGATATTAAAACCAATTCCAAGGGAGAAACCCCCCCAGCAAAATAGCATTTAGCATATCCATAGTTAACATGACAATGGCAACCAGAATATAATGGATCAATATTCCATTGTATGCTTGGGCTGAAACACAAACTGCCTGTGTGACAAAAGTGCCCCTTAATACAGCATTATGTGCTAATAAATGTTATGCTCTATACTCTTCAGTAAGTGATGTCATTGGGAAATAGAGATTTGAGTGAGTTGATGACACAAAGTAGAATTTGTAGATACATTTCCCGTTTGTTTAATAAACCTCTCTCATTTTGAATTTATTTCCTGTCCCATTTCTAGCCTTTTCTGAGTTTGGATCCTGCCCTGTCCTCTCTGTGTGGTAACAATATAGTGGAGAGCAGAGACTAACGAGGGGTAAATATCCACTGATCTATCATCATCAGCAAATACTTACAAAGGGTACCTTTTATTTAGGATGCACCAAGACAGTGTAATTCCACAACAACAACAAGATTACATTTGTATCGCACCTTTCACGTCGGGAGGACGTCCCAAGGCGCTAGGCGCTGGAGAGTGTACAGCATTTCGAACCCGAGCTGGGGGCAGGGGGAGAAGGGAAGGGGGGGGCGACCACTGGCATGGTCGAAGAAGAGGATTTTGAGGTGGGACTTGAAGGAGGCAAAGGAGGGGCGAGGCGGAGTGATTGGGGGATGGAATTCCAGAGGTTGGGGGCAGATTCCAGCCAGATATCATGAGGCTTTTCTATACTCAGAGGGTAAAGATTATCAGTAAGGGTGGTTAAGGCTGGGATGTTTGAAAACAGCTTGATTCTGTAAAGGATGGATGGTAGGGGTGGGTGTTTTCGAGGGATGAGATCATATGGGTCGAAGAACCTTCTTCATCCAACACAATCCTACAATATGTAGACACTGCCGAGATCAATAACTTTACCAATGTTAATGCAGTAATCTACCTCTGTGCAAATGTGCAGTGGGACACCAAAAGTGCAGCATGCTTTAACAAAATAATGGCTGTATTGTTTCAGGTGAGAAGGAAGAATTTGCAACTTAATAGCACCATATCTAGTTGAAACACCTCAAAGTGGTAATTACTGTCAATTACTGTCAAGTGCAGCAGTCATTTGCAAGAGAAAGGTCACATGAACAGCTGTGAGATGACCAATAATAATTATAGTTACATAGAGTGATATAGTGCTTTTCACGTCTTCGAGACGTTTCAAAGTGCTTCGCAGAATATACTGACTATATTTGTGGGTGAAGTATGATTATTGGCTCAGATACAGTCTCATTTCAAATCCTGTTATAGTCTGCCACATTACATGAAAGATAAAATAGCTCTGGAAAATGTACAATATAGATTTACGAGGATGCTATGGATAAGTGGATGCAGCTCGCAAGAAAAATTGGACAGGTTTCAGCTTTTGAGAATTGAGAAGGGACCTGATAGAAATATTTGAGATATGAACGGATGCAATAAGGTGAATATTTATAGACTGTTTCAAGTTGTTTGCAATTCAGAAACCAAAGAGCATTAATATACGATGGCCAGTAGTAGATCTGACAGGCAATTTAGGAAGAATTTCTTCATTGCAGAGGTTGGCGAATCACTCCTGAAGCTGTGGTTGAAGCAAAAATGCATCAATGTACTTAAAAGAAAATTTGATGGGAGGCTTGTGTGGAGCATAAACACTGGCATTAGACTAGTTGGGCTGAATGACCTGTTTCCATGCCGTCTCACTCTATCATTATTCATCACCTGAATAGACATTGGGATTTTTGGTATCCAAGAACTAACCTCCCACAACACAGTACTCCCCCTGGCTTTTCAAGCAATGGTTAAAAAGAAATATGAATTATGCTAATATTCTTTCGGTTAATAAAACAAGAATGTAAAATTCTGATCTATCCTGTTTGAAATCCCAATCTATTTCCTGCTTTGCTTTTGTTTGCTTGATAAACCTACAACCATCCATTCTTGAGTCAAAATTTATCAGTTCTTTTCTGAGTACTTGAAGTTACTTTAGAATGCAACATGACAAACAACAGGAGACAGGTTTAGAGTAGTAAAGGGACAATTTCAAGGCAGATAATGGGAAGTTTCTCTTTACTCAGTTTTGTCCCCTTTTATTGTTTAGCTTATATCACATTTAGTCTATAATTATGCCCTCTGATTTTCAAATCTTAGTTTTGCCCAAAATTACTACAAACATCAATCCCTTCCTTATTTTAAAGTCTTAAATCATGAGGTTGCTAATCTTCATTCCAGTGGAACAGATTTAATATCTGAAGCCTTTTTGCGTTCTTTGGTGATCATAAACCTGATGTTTCCATTCTTTGGATGAGACTTTAAACAAAGTCCCATCTGTCTGTTCAGTTGGTGTTAAAGATCCCGTGGCACTATTTCAAAAGAGAAGGGAGTTTCTCCCAGTGTCCTGACCAAATAAAATTGGTCACTCACTTCATGGCTGTTTGTGGGACATTGTTATTCGCAATTGGCTGCCGCGTTTCGCCTACAAAATACACTGTCAATCCACTTTACAGTATATTGTATGCAGTGCTTTGAGACATTTATGTGATATGGAGCTGTATCAAATTGCAAGGATTATTATTATATATAAAATATAAGAATTATTATCAGGAAAACTTTATTATTGTAATATTAATCTCAATTGAAAGAGACATCATTTTAACTTTTAAAAAAATAATTTAAATACTTTACTTGTCATCATCCCTTCTCTATACTATTATTTTTAGTTCAGCTTTAACATTTACTAATTTTTATCAATGGTAACTTTTTTCTCCCATTGAAATATATGACCCAGTTTTGTGTTGATTTATTCCTACTTCTACTGCCTGACTTGGCAGATAGGGACAGCGTTTGGCAAAAAGATTTTCTTTGGCTCAAAGTTGTGTTGATAGACTGCATAAAGGCAATAAAAAATTAAAAATACTGTTGAGACCATCTCTGAAAGATCTCTCAAGTGATATTCTGATCTAAAAACTGAAAGTGAATGAATGAACATACCCGTAGCTCTCTGAGGGTTAATATCCTGAATTGTTGCCAATGTAAGTTTCATTTGTAAGTGTATATGTCGTAAAATTTTATAACATACTTTGTTTAATCGTTTCTTATTATAAAGGCTCTTAAATTAAGAGTTGTGACTTTAATTCGCCATAATTATGTACCTCAGAGTTTTTGATGAGTGCGGAGCCATGTTCTGAAAATATAAATGTCCAAGATTACCTTTTAAATGATCTTCTCATTTTAAACGATCTTATTAAGGGTTTGTAAAACTCAGAGATTTATTCATTTGGAGCAATGCTGTGTACAATATTTGCTCTTACACTTTGGACTTTTTATTTGAATTTGTTTAAGTACAATATTACTTGATTGTATTTTAATATTAAGTACAAATAATATGACTTTGATGGGCATTACATGCACAAATAATCCTAGATAATCCTATGTGATTTTCAGATCGCAAGAACGTCTTAAAGCACATCACAGGAATTACTGTAAAGTGCAGTGACTGTTTGTATTCTGTGGACGAAAGTGGTAGCCAATTTATACACAGCGAATGTCCTGTATACTGTACCAATTTATGCACAGCAAATCATTGTAATTGCAGATTAGAGTCACCTTACAATGATTAGTAAATATCGATTTCCTATTTATTGTTTTCTTTCTTCGAGTTTCCCTTCTGTGTCATAATAATGCTTGATATAATGCTACATTTGATATAGCACCTATAATACTGAAAACATATCAGTGTTTTGCAGTTAATTACTGCAAAGTGTAAATACTGTGTATTTGTTGGCAAACATTGGCAGCAATATACCACAAAC